CCACCCGCGCGTCTCGGTGCCCGCCATCGTTCGCAGGCGTTTCTTTGCTGGACAGCCAGCGCCCGCTGCAAGGTGATACTGGTTCGTTTTACCCGCTGCAGTGAGCCCCCCCGGCCCTGGCTGCTGCTCTCCTGACCTGCCGTTCCAACCGTGTCCTCACAAGACGGCGCCTTTTGGTGCTGGCACGAATCCTGGTCGCCCTACGACCCATGCTGCTTGTGCAGGCGCCGAACATGTTGAGGTGCTGAGGGGTTCACAGGGGACTCGCATATGCCCATCCTGGCCGGTTGGCTGCGCTCCCCCGCGCCTCCCCGGCCCGGGCTGGATGCGCGGGGCAAGAACGGCGGCAGGCGGCACAAGGTGGCAGCGCCTCCGGCCGGCGGCGGCGACGGCGGCGGCGCCTCGGAGGCGGGCGCCGAGCAGCCGCCCATAGGCGACGACTGCGGCCCAGGCAGCGGCAGCGCCAAGGGCCATGCACATGCAGGCGACCTGGCGGCAGGACCGGTGCCGGGAGCCCTGGGCGTGGCCGCCATTCTGAGCAGGCAAGCTGCTGCCCTGGGGGTGCCGCGCCGGTTCCGGAAGCTCACTCCAGCGGGCGCCTGCGCCTGGGCAGCACGCCCGGTGCCGCCCCATGCAGAATGCCGCCCTGCCATGCCTGCCCTTCCGCTCTGTTATCCCCATGCTGCACCCAGCGGACCGCCGCTCTCTGTGCCTGGCCTGGGACCAAGATTCTATGGTTTCCCGCCTCTTCCAACCACCCCCGCCTCACCTCCTGTGCCCACGCCCGCCTCCCACTCTCCCCATCTGCAGCGCCCGCCACTGGGGCTTCCTGTGGAAGGCCCTGGCGCTGCACTCTGCCAACCTGGCGGCCACCCTGGCGGCGCGCCCGCTGCAGCCGCTGCACGACCGGCTGCAGCGCCAGCTGGCGGCCACCGTGGCGGTGAAGGAAGCGTGCCGCCAGCTGGGCGTGGAGGGGCTGCAGGAGCTGCAGGACCTGCTGAACTGCATCATCCTCTCGGAACACGTCTACAAGGTGTGTGTGGGGGAGTAGGGCGGCGGGTGGAGGCGGGGGCGGAGGCGGGGACGGGCATGGTGCACGGGACTGGCATCGCGGCGGCGCCCCGCAGACTGCGCGCGCCTCAGGCAGCACCGCGGCGGCCCGCCTGCTGCCTGCGGGAACTGGGCAGCTCGCAGCCCGGCGGGGGAAGGCCCTCGGCGCGGGCACATGCCTGCCAGCTGCCCTCGGCATCGCGTTTGCCCTTCGCATGCCGCCGCCACATTGTGAGCACCCTCCCACCACACGCGCTTCCCTGCCACACACGCTTCCCTCCACCTGAACCTCTTTCCCCCACAGATCGTGGACCACGACACCGACACTTCTGTCTCCTTCATCAACTCGGTCAAGGCGCTGTTCCCGCCGCAGCTGGTGACGCTGCGCGGCGTGCAGTGGGCGCAGCCGCACGTGCGCCACCGCTTCCTGCTGGGCGAGAGCCACGACGCCCTCTACGTCTCCTTCATGGGCACCAAGCTGCCGCGCGACATGGCCACCAACGCAAACCTGTTCCAGGCGAGCCGGCGCCAGACTGGCGCTGCGCCGGCGCCTGCGCCGGGGAGCCTGAGAGCCTGTGTGTGGGGCAGCGGCCAGCTTGGGGCCTGTGCTGGCAGACGGGCGCTGGCAGCGGGGCGGGCAAGCATGCGGTTGGGCCGTGAGGGGGACTGGGCTGAGCGGGTTGTGCGGCGAGCGAATCCGTTTCCTCAGCAGGGCTCGGCGGGCGCCGCGCTGCTGTGGGCGCCACCCCGCGCCAGGCGCAAGCAGCAGCTCCCAGCTGTGCTCCACCGGCGCGTGTTGTGTGTGCAGGAGGAGGTGGTGCTCGATGCTGCCATGCTGAGCAGCGGGGCCGCGCCGGCCGCCGACGACGAGGACGGCGGCGGCGTCAACGGCGGCGGCGCCGCTGGCGGCGGCGGCCGCGCGCTGGCCGCGCACCGCGGCTTCCTGGCGCGCGCCCGCTCCGTGCCCATCCACAGCCTGTACAGGGAGGCGCGGGCGCGCGGCAAGCGTCTGGTGCTGTGCGGTGAGTGCCGTGCTGTGAGCGCTGTGCTGTGAGCGCTGTGCTGTGCGGCGAGCGCGCCGCGGGCCGGCCCGCCTGCCTGGGCGCTGGCGCATGTGTTCGCCTGGGCAGCGGATGCACGGGAAGAAAGGCAGGGACCGGGACGCCAGGCTGCAGCCTCACAACACCAGCAGCCTCTGCCATCCCTTGCCTGCTGCTGGCAGTCGGCGCTTGTTGGCAGGCACCCAACCTGTCCTGGCGCCCAACCTGGTCCTTCCGCCCCTGTCCCAAACACCCTGCCCGACCCTGCCACCCCCGCAGGGCACAGCCTGGGCGGCGCGGTCGCCTCGCTCTGTGCCATCCAGCTGCTGCAGCACCTGCCGCCCAACCTGCACCACACCGTCAGGTGAGCCCGCCACCCCTAGAACCATTTCATTCAGGCCACCTCACCTGGTGCTGCCACTACCCGGCTTGCGAGCAAAGCGCCCTCCCATCTGCGCCCTTCCCCTCCCTCCTGCACCACCCCTCGCCGCCTCCACCTCGCCCGCCTGCCTGCGCCCCTGCTCCCCTTCCTGCAGCTGCTTCGGCTTTGCCACCCCGGCGCTCGGCAACGATGCGCTGGCGGCCACGGTGGCAGAGTGCGGCTGGGACGCCCGCATTCGCAACTACCTCAGCCCAGGTGAGCCTTCCTTTCTTCTCAGCCCAGGCCATGTTGAGACCTGTAGAGCAGCGCAGCTGCCGGCTGGGCAGCAAGGGCTGCGCACCCGCGCCGGCAGCAGCTGCTCCCGCCAGTTGCTGTGGCAGCGGGGCGCGCGAGCTGAAGAGGCGGCACTAACTGACGCACCCTGAGATCTGGTTGCTTGAAATCGATTGAACAACAAAGCTTGGTTCGTGCTCGTCTGCACACCCCTAGCCCCCTGCCCGGCCAGCCGACCAAGTCCTGCTGCTGCTGCTGCTGCCGCTGCCCTGTGCCGCAGACGACCCCATCCCAAAGCTGCTGTCGTTCCGGCGCCCGCCCGGCGTCGCCGCCGCCGAGAAGGCGGCGGCAGCAGAGGCGGCGGCCCCTCCCAGCGCAGCCGCGCACGAAGCGCCTGCTCCTCCCGCCGCGCCGCAAGGCGCAGCGAGCGAGGCGGCAGGCGCCGCGGGCAACGTCGTGCCCGCGCCCCGCCTGGCCGCCGGCGCGCAGCAGCGGCTGCGCCGCGTCGCCAGCCACGTTACGGCCGGCGGTGGCGGCGGCAGCAGCGGCGGCATAGAGGCGGAGCAGCAGAAGCAGCAGCGGGAGCAGGAGCAGTGCGTGACGGCGGCGGTCGCTGCACGCGGCAGCGGCCTGCCACGCAGCGGCAGCGCCCCAGCGCTGCTGGCACGCACCGGCGCCGCGGCGGCCTCAGCCGACAGCGCCCCCAAGGCCGGCGCCGCCTCCCGCCAGCACGGCGGCGGCCGCCTGGCGCGCGTGGGCGTGGCGGCTGCCACGGGGGCGGCTGTGGCGGCGGCGATGCTGGGCCAGGACGTGGATGTTGCTGCAGCCACCTCTGCTGCGGTCGCTGCGGCGATGATGCGGCAGGAGGGCACCCCGGCGCAGGTGCAGGGCAGCGGTGGCCGGGGCCCGGCGGGGGTGGAGGGGCAGGCCGCCGACGGCAGCAGCCGCCCGCGCGGCCGGCAGCACTGGCTGGGGCAGCGGCTGGCGGCGGCCGCGGCGCCGCCGCTGCGCGCCGCCGCCCACCGCGCGAGCTCTGCCGCGCTGGCGGCCGCCGCGCCGCCGGTGCGCGCGGTGGTGGAGCGTGCTGGCTCGGCCGCGCGGCTGGTGGCGCTGCCGCTCAGCGCCGCCGCTTCGGTGCCCATGCGGGCTGCGCCGCAGTACGTACCGCTGGGCCAGCAGCTGTACATCACCCCGGCTGCCGTCACCGCCGCCAGGCCCCTGGGAGACACCTGGGACGCCCCCCTGCCGCCAGCCACGTCTCTGCCGCCGCCGCGGCGGGCGTGGACCTTTTGGGGCGCCGCCCCGGCCGCCGCCGCCGCCGCCGAGTCCGCGGCCCGCCCCGCCGCCGCGCCCGCCAGCGGCAGCCTGGGCGGCAGCCTGGATGACGAAGACAACGTGGATGTTGCGGTGGCTGCCGCGCTGGGTGACCCTGCCGCCATGGCGGCAGCGGCGGCAGCGGGTGCGGCAGGCGAGGGTGAGGAGGGCGGCGGCAGGAGGCGGCGGCGGGGGGTGTTTGAGGCGCACCGAATGGCCACCTACCGCACGCGCCTGCTGGCCATCTGCCAAGGTGCGGCCCGCCGTTCACTCTGCGCCGCACCGGCGCCGTCCCGGGCTGGGCCGCGAGTGCGGCAACGCTGCACTGCGCTGGTGCTGTGGTGTGTGTGCTGTGCGTGGCGGCGGCGCCTGTGGAGCCCCAGGCTGCTCCAAGCCCCCTTCTGGATTCCTTCTCAGGCCCGTGGGCTGGCCAGGGTTCAGCACGTCCTGGCCAGCCAGTACGACATCAGCGGCCAGCAGCACATCAGCAGCCAGAACACAGCCAGTACAACACATCAGCATGACAAGCCGCATGCCTGCCCCGCGCCTGCAGGCTCGCTGGAGGGCCGCCTGCTCCTCCGTTCGCTGCCCAGCCTGCCCAGCCTGCCGCGCCCGGGCGACGTGGCAGCCACCGAGCTGCTGGCTCCCTCCATGTTCCCCCTCAAGGCCGTGGCCACGGTGGCCCAGGCGGCGGCGGCGCCCGCGGCAGCCGCGGCGGCGCAGCCTGGCGCAGGCGCCGGCACGGGCGCGCAGCCGGGCGCGGGCAGGCAGGCGCAGTTCGGGGAGCAGGCGCCCATGCAGCGGCGCGGCTTCTGGGGGCGCCTGCTTGCGCGCGCGGCGCGGCAGCAGCGGCAGGAGCCTCCTGTGGAGCTTCTGATCCGTGTGGAGGGGCGGGGGCTGTCCAATGTTACCAAGGCCTGGATTGAAGGCGTCCCGCTGGCCCTTCCGCCTGCCCCCATGCCCGCCGACGGCAGCGGCGCCGAGCACAGCGGCGGCGGCGGCGACAAGGCGGCCGCCGCTGCCGGCAAGCCCGCCGCCACGGTGGCAGAGGTGACGATCGTGCAGCAGCCGGCGGCGCCGCTGCTGCCACCACCGCGGGAGCGGCCGCTGCTGCCCGTCTTCAGCCAGCTGTCAGCCGTCGCCAGCTGGTGAGTTGGGCGGACCATGCGCCGGCTTGCTTTGCTGTGGCCGGCCATGCCAGCCGCTGGATTGTTGCGGCTGCGCATGCCTGCTCACCGTCTCACCCGCCTGCACCTGCCCTGCCATACTCCCTGATGTGCGCAGGCTGGCCGTTACCCTGGGCTGGGTGGCGCTGCTGCGCCAGCTGCAGCCTGCCGGCAATGCCGACTTCCTGCTCGCCCGCGTGCGCCTGCCCGCGGCCGCGGTGCGCGACGCGCAGAAGGCGGCTCAGGTGCCCGCCCGCCTGCCTGGCCTGATGCCTTCGCCGCACAGTGCTTTGGTGCCGCGCTGCGTACCTGCGTGCCTGCCTGTGCCGTCCCTGGTTGGCCCAGCCGTGCTGCTCACCATGCCGCGCGGTGCCCGCTGCCCTCCCCAACCTCCCGCAGAACTCTCTGCTCACCTCGGTGACCGACGGCCCACTGCTGCACGGCCTACACGCGGGCCCCCGCCTCTCGCTGCGCCTGCAGGCAAGCCGCCGGCAGCGGTGGGCTGCGTGGGGCCGGCCTTTCCCCGGCGCCTTTGCCGCGTTGCTGCCAGCATCGTGTGCCAGCGTCTTGTGCTGCGCCGCATGTGCACCCACATATGCGCCGCGCCCGCCTGACCCGCTGCCCGCGGCTGCCTTGCCTCTGCAGAGCGACTTTGCTGTGCACTCCCTGCCTCTGGACATCCGCGTGGCGACCAGCATGCCGCCTATGGGGCAGCGCTGGGCGTGGCCGTGGGCACACCGCACGCGTCGGCCGCGCGCCGCCAAGCAGCAGGCGCACGCGCAGCAGCAGCAGCAGCGCGGTTCCCGCTGGTGGGAGTGGCCCGGCAGCTCGGCCGCCGCCGGCCATTAGGGCTGCTGGCAGCCGCCCAATCGTTGCCGCATGTGGCACGCCTTACTCTTTGGCACCTTCATTCATGCGTAGGCTTTTGGCGGAGCTCAGCACAGGACATAAGTTATTTTGCCCTCTCCTCTCCTCTCGAACACGCACCCTCCTTTTGCCCTCAAACCCACTCAGCTTCTGCCCAGCGCTCCCCTTCCTCGTGAACGCCAAACCCGCCCTCGGCGGCAGCCCTCCCGCCCCCTCTGAAAACCAGCGCTCCAGAGCAACCGCGGCTGCTCTGGACCCATCAACAGTTTGTACACTCTCTGGAGTTCATCACTTGCCCCTTGCCTTTTGTTCCCCTCACTTGAATTCATTGCTCCCCATTCTCTTTCAGCCCCTGCAAACCAGTGCAGCTGATACTTGCTGCTTGCGTTTGCCCAACTCCTTTTGGTGCATGCGAGACGCCGATTTTGCACCATCCGTTGCTTTTGGCCCCTCTGCCAACTCCACAGCTGTAACAGCAAGGCACGCAGGCTGGGGGGGCGGTGTAGGTGGCAGAGAGTGGTTGGGTTCTGTTGGCGGGCAACGGGAAGCTGGCGTCGGGTGGGTGGGTCTGCTGGGCATGCTGCTCGCCGCCCTGCCCTCCACCTGCTGTCCACCTCCCCCTTTTGTCCGTTTGCGGTATCTCTATGCACCTCACTATTGCATCGCGCTGTGCAGGTGCCCAGTTTCTTGCGTGTTTAGCTCAGTTTCTGTTGGAACGCGGGATATCAGCCGGGCTGATTCAGCCCGCCCGTTGAAACCAGCACTACGCTAGTAGACAGTGACTTCCCAGCGTGCAGCCGCCGCAGCCCCCGCCTTGCGTCGAGCGCGCGCTCCAGGCCCAGTCACCCCGCACCTGAGCGTCCTTACCCTCAGCGCAGCTCGCATCTGCGCCAAGAGGAGCTATGCTGGTGACGCCGGGCGAGCTGGTGCTGCTGGTGCTGGACGCACGCCGCTTGCGCCACGACGGGCTGAGCGCCGCCCCGGCTCTGTCATAGGATGCGGCAGTGCTGCATCGCCAGCAGGCGCTCTGGCATGGTGGCCTTCCTGATGCTGGCCCTGCTCCTGGGGTCCACTGCCGACACCGATGACAACGGTGAGCAGCGGTGGCTAAGCTCGCCGCCGCACCAGCGCTGCCCATCGCCCTGCTTGTCCGCGGCCCGCTTGCCGTTCAGCCAGCCTGCAAGGGGCATGCCTGATGCAAGTCGCCATCTGCTTGCGTGGACGTGAAAACACTCCTGTTCTGTGCGTCTTCGCATCTGCTGCTGCTGCCGCTGATCTGGCATCTGGCGCCGACATCTGCCGACGCCCCCTACCGACCCTTGGCTGCAGGCGAGGGCGCCATCATGCGCGCGCTGCGTGACACGCGGCCTAACACAGACTTGCTGGACCGCATCAGGGGGACGGGGTGGCTCCCCGGCAGCACCCGCCACCATTGCACGTGGAACGGGGTCAAGTGCGACAGTCAGGGGCACGTGGTCAGCATGTGAGTTGCTCGGAGTCGGGTGGAGTGCCTGTGGCTTGCTGGCCAGCTGCCGGTGGGGGTCAAGGCGTGTGCCGGCCTGTGGCGCTTGGGCAACAGGAGAGTGCTGCAAACGCGCCCACAGCCTCAGTCGGCCGTCCGCTGCCTGCCAGCGCGCACGCCACATGGAGGCGTGCGGCCAGCCTGCGGCCGGGCCGTCGCTGTCCCACACGCGCAAGCGGGATGCAGCTGCGCGCTCCCGATGCTGCAAGCTCACGCCACCTGCCGCGCCGCTGGGCCTGCCCTTGCAGATACACCTTGACAGTCAATTATGCCAGGGCCTCCCCGGGGGCGCAGCAGACCACCCCCGACAACGCAACCGGCGGCCGCGAAGCGTCGGCGGGGCCGCGGGCGGCCGGGGCCGCTGCCCCCTCGCCTGCTGCCAGCGCGCTGTTGCCGGAGCTGGCGCAGCTGCGGTGGCTGGAGGTGCTCAACTTGGAGGTGGTCATTCCGCCCTCGCGCCCCGGCCCCCGCCCCGGCGGCCTCCCAAGGGAGTGGTGGTTGCCGGGCGCCTTCCCTCGCCTGAAGCAGTGAGTGGCAGGCGCCTGTGCTAGCCACGGCGTGTTGAGGGTGCCCGCCGGTGGGGAGGCGGCAGCAGCCCTGCCTGCTTGCCCACCTCCTTCGTGCCGCACGCCAGGCTAGACCCGTCCAAGCCTCCCCCCAGCAGCGGCGGAGCTTGCAGCCGCCGGCAGGCAAGCAATCCACGTGATGTGTCCAGTCCAGCCAAAGGACGTCGTCTCCGCTGCCCTGCATCCACTGCTGCCTGCCGCAGGCTTTCCATCATGGCGCCTTCGGTCGATACCGTGCCGCTGCCGGAACTAGCACCGGGGGTGCTGCCGCAGCTGGAGGTGCTCAAGCTGGAGCTGGCAGCCCTGCGCACCACGCTGCCCGCCAGCTGGGGCAGCAGCCCTGCCGTGCTGCCGGCCCTTCGCGAGCTGCGGCTGGAGGCCCAGTTTGAAGGCGGCCTGCCCCCGGCCTGGTCCGGCGGCTTCAGGCGCCTCCAGCAGTTGCACCTCATCCACACGCAGCCATCGCTGCCAGCGTGCCTCGCGCCCTCCGCGCTGCCGGCAGCGCAGCTGCCCGGAGCGCCTGCTGCCGGCCCTCCCCGAGAGCCAGAGGAGCCGCCGGCAGGCCTGCCGCCGCAGTGGGCATTGGGCTTCCCCAACCTGGCGCTGATGCAGCTTTCCGACTTGAGGATTGGCGGGCCCTTCCCGCCGTCCTGGCAGACTGGCTTTCCAGCCCTGGTTGACCTGTGAGCTTCGCGTCGTGGCTGGATGCCTGCAGCCTGCCTCCCGTCCGGGGCAGCGTGCCTGTGCGACATGCCGGCAGGGGGGCAGGCCTCCTCCACAACACCCCGCCAGCTGAGCTCAGCTGCACTGCCGTCGCGTGTCCCTCCCCGCTGTGCTGCAGGCACCTGGTGCGGAGCCAGCTGACCGGCACGCTGCCAGAGCTGCTGCTGCAGCGCCACCAGCCGCCACTGGAGTACCTGTCGGTGCGCTGCCGGCTGCTGGCTGCTGTGGCTAGGAGCCAAGGAGACACGCATGTGGGGTGACCCCCGCATTCGGCGCAGCTGCAGCCTGCACTGAACCGTCCATGTTCCGTGTGGCTAAGCTCCACAACCACTTGTTTTGGTGTGCCCCTACCGCAGCTGTACGCCAACTGCTTCCACGGCCCTCTGCCTGACGGATGGGGGCTGGCGACAGAGGTGCGTGTGCCAGGCCCGATGCTGCCGCTGGGCCGGGCCCCGGCCGTGGCACCCTGCTGCCGGCCACACCGGTGATACCGTCTGCCCCCTGCCTGCCATGCTGTGGTATGCTGTGTCGTCATTCATTTCATTCATTTATTTGCTTACCTCGTTTCTGTGCTTTGCTGTGCAGGTCGAGACGCTCAACCTGGCGCACAATGCGCTGGCAGGCCCCGCCTTCCCGCCTGCCTGGCTGCGCCCGGGGGCCATGCCGCGCCTCAAGTTCTTCAATTTGATCGGGAACCGCGGCCTGAGGGGCACCCTGCCCGCCAACCTGGCCTGGCCTGTCCTGGAGCAGCTGTAAGTCGGGCGGGGCGCCTCGGCGGCATGCAGCGGCTGCGCCTGCGCTTGAGCCTGAGTCGGATGTTGCCGCCGCTGCGGCTGCTGCTGTCGTCTGTGCCTGATGAGTTAGCGATATTGCAGCCGGGGCGGCGCCCTGACAGGCAGCACACGGGTGGCTTGCAGCCGGCGGGCCGCTCACTGTGTCCTCGGGTGTGTGCTCACTGTGCCATCTCGTGGCTGACGCCTTCTCTGCAGGGAGCTGTGGGGCACGCGGGTGGAGGGCAGCATCCCCCAGGAGTGGTGCCGCGCCCCGTTTGCGCAGAACCTGACTGCAATGTGAGGGCTGGCTGGAGCTGCGGAAGCGCAGGGCTGCTGCAGCCTGCAGTGGGTGTGAACGACCTCGCCACATGTGCTGCTCCTGCTGCCCGCTGGTGGTGGTGGCACACATGCGGGGGGCCCAGCTCGCCTGCGTGCTGCCGCCACCAGCGACTCCCCCTGACCGTGCCCTCGTCTGCCCGGCCGCCCTGCGCCCGCCCATTGCAGCTGGATTGCGGGCACGCAGGTGGTTCCCAGGCTGCCGCCGTGTGCCGCGGAAGCCATGCCGAACCTAGAGTTGCGCACCAGCCAGGATGCAACCGGCACTTGGGGCAGGTCGGCGCAGCTGCCCGCGCCGCCGCCGCGGCGGCAGCTGGCGCTGGCCGCCGCGCTGGCCGCTGCCGCGGGCGGGCTTGCGGCGGCCGGGGCGGCTGGCTGGGTGCTGTGGCGCTGCAGGACTCGTGGCCAGGCTTTCCGGCTCGCCAACAGCGACAGCCAACCGCTGCTGCCCGCACAACAGCACGCCGGCGACGGCGGCAAGCTACCAGCTGACTTGGGTGCCGGCCTGCGGCCTGTCAGGAGGGCGCGGCTGGCAGCTCTGCTGCAGGCTGGCTCAGGTGCCGGCCGCGGCGCGGGGATAGAGATGGTGCCAATGATGGCGCTCCCAGCGGCGCTAGCACACCAGCTCCCCGGCACAGAGAAAGGCGCAGGCGGCAGCGAGGATTTGGCGGCAGGGCAGTCAGGCAGCCACACCTGCCAGCCGCCTGTCTCTGCTGCCGGGGCAGCTGATGTGGAGGAGCAGGAGGGGCAAGTCGGGGCTCCTCACAGCCGGCAGTGGGGCCTCAACACCACCTCGCTGCTGCTACAGTCTGAAGAGCTTGAGGTGGGCTCAGCAGGCGCAGCGTGCGGGCGGAGGGCCGCGCTGCTCAGCCCACGCACCAAACACGTGTAGCCCCCGCTTGGTGCCTCACAGAGTTTGTCACGCATGCAGCACGCATGCCTGCAGTTTGGTGCAGTCTAACCTCGCTGCTCTGGCTCACCGCACCCGTGCTGTGCCCTCCCCTGGCCTCCTTGCTGCCTGCAGCTGGTGGTTGGCGCCGACGGGCAGCTGGTGGAGCTAGGGGAGGGGGCCCATGCAGTGGTCTACCTAGGAAAGCTTTCGGGCTCACACGTGGCAGTCAAGGTGAGCGCCCTCTGGCATTGGTATTGCTGCCCTTGTGCGCGTTGAGTGCCCGCCCCTCAAGCGCTGGCCCTGCCGGCGGCGGCCAAGATGCGCCGGCATGCCAAGCCGCTCCCCTTCCGCTGATGTGCGGCCGCTCCTGCAAGTGAATTGGCGCTGTTTTTGCCGCCCATGGGATGCGCCGCTGTGTTTGGTACTGCCCGGCTGCAGGTGTTTGAGCTGGGGTCGGGGGTGCACTCCAGCGCGGTGTGGCGCGAGGCAGCCATGCTAAGGGACTGCGGCCACGCCCGCATCGTGCCGCTGTTCGGTGTGGCGCTCAAGGTGGGCTGCCGCTGGCCTGCCGTCCCTCTCTGTTCTGATCGCCTCTCCGCTCTGGCTCCCACTCCCCACCTTTCCCTGCCACCGTGCCTTGCGCAGGGCCAGATTGTCTTGCTGGCTATGGACCTGATGAAGGGAGGCACACTGAGGGCGGCGCTGCAGGATGCGCACAAGCGGGCAGCGCTCCACTGGCTTGCCAGGTGCGGCCCTAGTGGCAGGTGCTGCTGCCGTAGGAACGTCGCTGATGCACGCACCTTGGCTGGATGGATCTTCTGGCTGGGTGGAGGAAGATGCAAGGAGAGGATAGACATGCCAGCCGGGCAACGGTCGGCCTGCCTTGTGATTTTGTGGGTGCTGATCGGCGCCCTGGCTGATGTGCGTGCGTGCAGGGGCCGCCAGGTGGCGGCTGACGTGGCGGGTGCGCTGGACTACTTGCACCGCCGCAACGTCATGCACGGAGACCTGAGCAGCAGGTGGGGGTGCGCAGGGCATGCCTCAGAGGCCAGTGGAAGGTTGCATGACACACTGGCCTGCTAGTGGCAGGACATGGCACCAGCCTCCTCACCTGCATCCGCCTGTCTCTGGCCTGTGCAGTAACGTGCTGCTGGATGGTAGCCTTGCGGGGCACATTGGCGACCTGGGCATGGCCCGGTTCGTGGCCGGCAGCGTGCTCACCGCTGCAGGCTTCTGCTTGACGCACGCAGGTACGCCAGCATCAGCAGCTGGCTGTATCCCGGCTACCCGTCTGCGTCCCGCCTGTCTGCCCTCCCGCATGCCAACAACCATCTGAATGCTGTTTGCTCTGCGGTTTATCTCTCTGCAGCCCCCGAGCAGGTTCTGGGGCAACGCTGCACGCTTGCAGCCGACATCTACAGCCTCGGCATCCTGCTGGTCGAGCTGACCACGCAGCAGGCTGTGCTGAAACGTGGAGCCTGGCGCCTCCCACTGGCCCCCCAAGAGTGCTCCCCGGCAGTGCTTGCTCTCATCGAGCGCTGCACTGCGGCGGACCCGCTGCAGCGCCCCTCCACTGCCCAGGTGCTGCAGCGGCTGCAGGCGGAGGGAGGATAACGTAGCGGCTGGCGAACGCACATACTGTGCTTCCAATGCATTAGACTGCCCTCTACAGCTTTCCACCCGCCATCCAAGCAGGTGAGGGCATGCTCACTGAACTAAGCCATCATCATGCTGGTCCCACAGCCTTACATCCGACTGGAAGTGGCGCTGAAATGCAGTGGCCACTACCATGCCGATGCAGGCCAATGGCACCCCAGCGCCCCTGGGGAGGCTGCGGATTACGTGGCGGCGGCGCCTGCCCTTTCTCGCGATCTGCTTTGCTCTGCTTTGAAACATAGTTCCCATAGATGCCTGGAGGGCGCTTGATGAGTTTTGCTGTTGACGTTCCGGGGGTGTAACCAGGACTGGATCGGACACAGTGCCCTTGCTGATGCTGCAATGCAATCATGGGTGGCTGATGTGGCACCCGCCGCCATGTTCTGGTGTTGACATCAAGGAAACCAGCAGCTCACGATCTTCCTTGCTTCCTTCCCCAATTCACGCACCCCTTGGCTGGCGAGCTTGCGCCAGGCGTGCGCTAGGGCTCCGGCGGTTTGTTCGTAGCCAGCGCCAGTGGTCGGCCGGCGCCCCCATCGACCTCCTGCTCCGCCTGTAACCCAGACCATCACGCGCCAGAGGCGCTGGGTGGCGCTCAACCCGCGAGGGGGTGCGCCATCACCGCCAGCCGCCGCTCCAGCCATGCCGCTCTCGGCAGGCTGGCAGCTCCCCTGGGAATGAGATGGCGTCGCCTAGGTGCCGGCGCCATGGCGGCGCTGTTGCTGCTCCTGGCGGCACAGGTGCCATCCACCAGCTGCGCTCCTTCTGCCGATGATGGTGAGCAGGAGAGGCAGAGTGGCCACCGCCTGTCAGGCAGTTGTTCGGCCAACACAATTGTGTGGGACCCTGCAGGCGAGATTGATATCATGTGGCAGCTGCGGGATGCAGTGCTGGGCTCTGGCCTTTTCCAAACGGCCTCGTGGGCGTCCTGGCAGCACAGCGGCAGCACCCACCCCTGCACCTGGCACGGCGTCAAGTGCAACGCCCAGCGCCAGATCACAATCTTGTCAGTAGTATCATGCAGACCAGTTGTTGCAGACCGTCTGCATGTATTCAGGGGAGCGGGCCCGGCTTGCCCCAAGGCCACCCTGGCTTCTGCAGCTGTGATATCATGCATTCCCGGGCTGTCCTGCCTCGTCGAACTTCCTACTGCGCTTTGTCCTACACCCTGCAGGACCCTGCTGAACACCTACACTCGCACGGATCCCGGGGCAGGTGCTCCAAACCTCCCACATGACAGTTTTACTGACGATGGCGCTGCAGGGGAGGCTGCCAAGGGCCTGTTGCCGGACCCATCACCCCCCAGCCCACTGCTCCCCGAGCTGGCGCAACTTCAGTGGCTGGAGGAGTGAG